CACATAGAGATAAGAAATGCATACACACATTCATTCAAACCAACTGTCAATTCTGAACCGGTTATAAAATCTGATCTAGATAGAGTGCCTAACACTCACTGATAAATTCTAGACTATTATTTGAAAAAGGCGGAACTCCAAAATTACCATATCAAGAAAATCGCTTCCGAATTCTGGATGATTTTATAAGCTTGACATACCCTAATAAAAAATAACCATAAACGAACGATAACTCAAATCATTGAACTATTCCACAAATGGTTTGGATGATACCCAGAACACGTCGTTAAGCAAATTAACCATACAATTTTTAATAGGGTATAGTTAATAGTGTAATCTATCATCATGCATCACTAAAAACTAAAAAAAAAGTTTTCTTTGTCGTGAAATTGAGAAGAAAATATCATACGCCCTGATAATTCCTTACATGTTGTTACCCCCCGGTTCTTCCATCCTTTGAGCAGCCAACACTGGTGATACGCCGTGGAAGTACACCTTCGGGATTTTTTGTTTGTTGTTCCGCCTTGGTTCTTCGTTCGCAAATTTTGTGAGAGTGGAATTACGCCCGGAGATTTTTTGGTTTTCTTTTTGTTCTTTGTTTACACGTGAAATATCAATCGGATGCGTTTCAAATGAATCAGACGTGACTAGATACTACAGAAACAATACGTTTGGCATATTAAAACAATATAATTCGTAGTTCTGGTGCAAGGCGTAACAACCAGTTGCATCATCGAGTTGATAGTTAGAAATACGTCATGTAAGAAGAAACGTTTTTGATGATTTGAAGTGATATTTTCTTCTACTTTTTCGTGTTTATCGAGTACTGTTCTTATATGTGCCAAAATATAGTTTGTTTACATTTTGGCTCTTCCGCCCCTTTCAAATGTTAGTCTAGAATTAAACTTTTCTTATTTTGCTTAAAATTCAATTAATTTTACATTAAACTCAGTTTAATCAGAGACGGCGCGAGGACTGAAGCCAAAAGTTCCAATCGAACCGTCAAACGCGGTTCCAATCGAGCAATGTAAATAAACACGAGCGCTTCACGAGGAAAAAGCGATGAAAAATAATGATTATACCACAGACAAACAGACATAACACATTGAATATTTCTCAATGGAAAATATCGTCGCTAAAACATTACCGCCATCTGTTGAGTACACTGTGGTGGGTAGTACGCTGAACAGATGGCGGTAGTGTGTAAACGTCAAACGCAAGGGAATTGACTATGCGCGCCACAGGTGGCGGTACTACCAACTACGATACTTTTAAATTGACCGTTAAATGCTTGTTCGATCAACAGCTTGCGAGTGTTATGTCTGTTTGTCTGTGATTATACTTAAGTTTCCCTAATAAAAATTACCATAAACGAACGATAACCCAAATGATTGAACTATTCCACAAATGGTTTGGATGATACCCCGAACACGTCGTTAAGCAAATTAACCATAACATTTTTATTAGGGTAGGCAACATAACCATAACCATTTTATTATGGTTGCGTATGAAAAGTGCAATTGGGTACTATTTGACTTTTGGAATGCCAATAAAACACAAGTAAAATCTTTTGAGATTAATCGTTTATATTTACATCAATGCCAAAAAGCATTTTTTTTTTAATTACAAAGCCGCTGATCGACTGTCAAATTTTTAATCACCAGTGAATTTGGCGAAAGACTCCAAAAAAGGGACGAGAAAATGCATTGTTTACAAAAGCAGATACCAGCCGTAACATTTGAAAACGGCACAAAAGCTTTTGTAAACAAAAGTTGTAAGGCCTTTTACACGCGAACCGACGCGAACCGAAGTACGCTCACGCAAACCAATACAATTATCGGAAAGGGGAAAATTTCCCCCACCCGATGATGTTAATGGTTTGGGTGTACTTTGGTTCGCGTGTAAAGGGCCTTACAACTTTTGTTTACAAAAGTTTTTATGCCATTATCAAATGTTACGCCTGATACGTCTCTTCGAAAAAATAATCGAGATTTCATTCATACAGGCTAGGAAGCATGAACCGCTGATTACATAATTTTGCGCAATGCTATTTTTGCGCAACGCTATTTTTATGTGTCCCACACATTAACTTTTGCAATATGATAAACAAATGATATTTATGTGTCGGACACATAGTTCTTATGTGCACATGTGTGTGTGTGTATGTGTGGTTACACATGAATTTGTTGTGTAAATGTACACATAAAATTCATGTGTAACCACACATACTATTCATTTGACTCATAAATTTCATGTGTACTTCTGAGTGGATTCTGTTTATGTGTGGAAACATCGTCTCTGATTTGGTACTATCTGTGGCACGCATAGGCAATTTGTGTGACATGACATTTGCGTTTGATGTTTACACACTACTGCTATAGGCCTTTTTAATAGAAACTAAACGATCGATTCAACCTCTGGTGGTGAATAGGCGAACGTCAAAAAGAGTGTTGTGAGCACAAACGAAGTGACAGACGGAGCGGCTCGAAAACTTTGGTGACTAACCTGCTATTTAAATTTTTCAGTGTACCACATGGCAACACCACTACTACTGGATTTTTCCACATGGCAACACTACTATGGATTGTACTAGCATTTTCACCAAATGTATTAGAATGTTTTGGTTCTATCTCTTTCACTCTACTCAAAACTGAAATGCATAAAAAAAATGACAAAATGATACACTCTTTGCACACTGTCAAAGAATCATTGTACACAAAATCAACTTTGTTCAAACAAAACCAAAAAACTAACCCATCTGGTGGACGATGGCAGAAGCTTCCAAGAAAATTCTATTACAGTGAACCACATTATTTTAATTAATTTCTTCGCCAGTTAGTCGTCTGTCACTTCGTTTGTGGTTGTGAGCATAATTGTTTGCCTTGAGACATAGGAAGCGGAACACTTTTTTACTTTTCCTGATCAATTGATTCATCTGAGATCTAGTCTGAGATGCTGCAAAACTTAATCTACAGTTGAAAAATTTAATTTCGTAACGTTTTTGAAAAGATCCTGCTGGTGTTCAGGAATATTTTTGTTGAGAAAAATGGATAGTTAGAAAAGTGCCTTAGTGGTTATGATCTTCCGGATTTCTTGTGTGTGAATAGTTAAGGTGCAAATCATTTCAGATTTGGGAAAATCGTACAATAAGACAATTCAGTGCCAACATTTCAAAGGGGCGTAATTGCATTTGTAAACAATGGCTTTAGCCGTCGATTTCTCGCGAATAAAAGCTCACTCATGAAAAAATGACACCAGCGGGTAGAGGAATGTTGCATTGTAATTTTGGAGAGGTAAGATTTCATTCGCGAGAAATTGACGGCTAAAGTCATTGTTTACAAAAGCAATTACGCCCCTTTGAAATGTTGGCACTGAATTACCGATTGGCAAATCAAAGTTGGCACTCGTGGAGAATAGAAGAACTATGAAAGTGATGATGGTTTCAAAATTTTCCACGGGGAGGTATACGAGTGCAATCTTAAAATGCTTTTATTTTGCAAATGGAGCATTTTATTTAAATCTGCTTTCTGCTACAGTGGTAGAAAAGCTGAAATCTATGTCTACACATAAAAATCTGAAAAGAAATTATTTTTTCTATAGTATATGTCTTTCGAGTAGTCCTTTAGTTTTGTTTACTAACGTAACATTAACCAGATTTAAATAAAATGCTCAATTTGCAAAATAATAGCATTTTAAGATTGCACTCGTATACCTCACCGTGTAAAATTTGGAAACCATCATCACTCTCATAGTTCTTCTATTCTCCACGAGTCCCTAATAAAAATGTTATGGTTAATTTGCTTAACGACGTGTTCGGGGTATCATCCAAACCATTTGTGGAATAGTTCAATCATTTGGGTTATCGTTCGTTTATGGTAATTTTTTATTAGGGGTGCCAACTTTGATTTGCCAATGGAAATTGGCAAGATTTTGAATGAAAAATGCTGTTATTTGCGTTGGGGAAAATACTTATTCTGATGTAAACAAACGGTTTGGTTGACGTTTCTTCTCGAACTCACGTGGCGCACTCTACGTTGGTGGTGCATTAAAGAGGCGTATCTGTTGAGCGTACTGCCCGTCACAGTTTACTCAACAGATGTTTTACCATAGAGGTAACTCTAAGACCACTGGGTCCCGAAGAAAATCATTATTATTTTTGGCTCACTCAGTACCAGAACAACGGTCCCAAGCAGTCCCAAGCTATTTCACTCACCCCTGCATGTTCTGCATGAATCGAGGGGGGCGACACATCTAAATCTCAATTTTAGATGATCAAAAAATCTCACACTACCCTAATAAAAAATAACCATAAACGAACGATAACCCAAATCATTAAACTATTCCACAAATGGTTTGGATGATACCCAGAACACGTCGTTAAGCAAATTAACCATACAATTTTTATTAGGGTAGCGAATCAATCTTCGAAAAATCTTCTTGCATTTCTCGCATCTACATGCATCGCGCATCATCTTTTTGCAGGAAATCTTCAGAATCGTCATCAATCTTCTTTCTATCTACTCAGCGTACGAGCAGCTAGCCACAGCACAACACAATCTTTACTGCAGCGTAGATAGAGTCGTCCCCCTCGGCATGAATCCACACACCCCTGATGTTATCTGTCAAACTTTCATAGCGAATCAAAACAAACATAGTGTAGTAATAGAATTTCAACTAGAATAGGGTACGTTAATCGTTTGCTTGGGACCAATAGGCTACTAAAGTGGTGAGCCAATTTAAAATCGTTAGTTTCGTATTGATTGTTGGTTTTACAGTGAGAAATATGCAATGAGTTATGACTTTTTGTCTGTGGTTCGAGTCACGTCTATAAGAGATGTGAGTCGGGATCGGGAAGCCCTATTCGAACCGGTTCGCTCGCGAAAAGCGCGCAAAATATGTAAACACGTCTTTGCGGTCGGTAACAAAATTTGCAGATTAACTTGCAGTGCCAGACTAACAACACTTATTTATTGTGCTAAACCGATTTCTAATTGCATTTTAACTACATAGGTATTAGCTAATGAAGTTTGTTTAATTTAATAGTCCAATAGTAAATAATATAATAATAGAAGAGTGATAGGTTAATTTTACCTCAGAATGTCGTCATTGAGCACCGTCAACGATGAACAGGAATCGATTGAGATCGATGAATTGGAACAGCTGTTGTTGGAAGCAGAATCCGAAGCAATATCCTTCGTTAAAATTGTGCCGTCTCCTGTTGCTAGTACGTCCGAGGAGCCAACCAGCTCAGCAAATACGAAATTGATTACTAAAGCCAGCTCAATTTCCCTCAACGGTTCAACGTTCCTGAAGAATTTGGAACAGCAGAGTCCGGATAAGCAAACATCTAAACTCTCGAAACCGACCAGCGCGGTCCACAGTGGTGATACCGACTCTTCAGACGACGAGGAGATAAGAAATTTACTGGGGCGAAAATACGATGATTACGGAATGGGTATCAATGCAATTTTAAAGCAAAAAGAGGACGAGAGAATTGATTTGGAAATATCGAATTTTATTAACCGTACATTGAAAAACGCCGATCAAGGCACATCCCAGCTACCGAAAAAGAAAGCTCCTACGAAAACACCGGAATCATTAGAGGAGGATGTTCGACCTTTCCCGGGTGCCACGAAGGCGGAGCCTCTTCCGGTATCAAAAAATACCATACCGGATATATTTAAGAAGAGCGTATATACTGATCCAATCTTTGGGATACGCCTGGTACATCCATTGATTTCAAGCACAATGATGCAAGAGCGAATGCAGGGTAGGAAACCAGTGTCCATGGCTCGGATAAAACATCATATCGAGCATGTAAATTTGAAGGAAGACTGGGCTATCGCCGGAGTTGTACTCAGCAAAAGTCCTCCGAAAACTACGGCTAAGGGAAGTCAGTTTTCCATCTGGAAGCTAAGCGATCTTCATGGGGAACTCAAAATGGTTAGTTTGTTCCTATTTTCACAAGCCTACAAAGATTTGTGGAAAACGGCCGAAGGGATGGTCATTTGCATATTGAACCCCGGCGTGCTGGAGCGTAACGATGATAAAAATACGGAGGCAGTTCTCTCGATTGACAAGTCTGCCAAAGTGATGATATTGGGACAGTCGAGAGACATGGGGACGTGTCGCAGTAAGAAAAAGAACGGAGAGCGGTGTACGGCCTATGTAAATCTGGACAAATGTGAACATTGCGTGTACCACGTAAAGCAAGAGTACAACAAGGCTTGCAATCGTGGTGGCCTAATTTCATCTACTGCCGGGCGAGGATTGAACGAGCTTCGGAACAAAGTGCTTGGGAAAAATGAGGTGACATGATGATAGAGTTGTAACATTTCTCAACATTAACATACCCCATTATGTCCTATTACATTTCAGGTATTCTACGGTGGCCAAAGTTTTTCGGCAGTTAAAGCTAAGAAGAATCCGAAGCAAGTTGCAAAGGATAATAATCGCATGCTGACGCTTTCGGAATACTACCAGTCTCCGCTGCAAGGCAGCGGTAATGCAACTTCACAAGCAAGCTCTTCTTCGCTTCCAGCTTACCGTCAACAGCCGGCTATTAAATCCGTCCCCAACAAGGGATCTGCAGCTAGGTTGGAATTCAACATAAAACAAAGAGAAAAGGATGTGGAGCGTTTGAAGCAACTTGGTTTGAGTACAGAAGATACTCTGTCTTTGACAACTTCCAGAGAGACAGCTAAAACTCCTACACAGGTATCAAAATCGACATCGAAATCATCTCCATGTCTATCAGCACCTAATGGTTTCGAAAATCGATCGTTTAGTCTTGAAACTAAAGCAACACCTAGATTGAGTACGGGTAATTTTGTCATTGACTTGGGACAGTCTCCGAAGCAAGCACTATACTCACGTCAAAAAGCCGCCAACATTTTGAAGAAGAACCCCCTGGCGAAATCCAATCCGAATTTCATTAAATACCGTGGCTCAGAAACGGGGAAAAAACGTGCATTGGACGAGATCCACGCAAACGACGAAGTAGCAAACGGAAATGCTTCGAAAAAGCAGAAGCTGGATCAAGAAGAGCAGGCTCGAAAGGATCGTTTGAAAACAATGATGGAGGCATGCTCATCGCATACCGATCTAATCAAAGCCCACGAGGATGAACAGCAGGAAAAGTACTTCAAAGACCTCGAACGCAAGGAAGCAATGGAGGAAAAAATGATGAACACCTTCAAGGTGGAGTGCAAGGCTGTGATTTGTCTCCGATGCAAGTACATTGCATTCTCGGCGGCCGATCGGTGCAAAGAGGAACGACACGAACTCAAAGTGCGAGATGCCGAGAAACGTTTCTTTAAATGTGCCGATTGTGGGAATAGGACAGTTACGTTGCATCGTTTACCTAAAACTACATGTAAGAACTGTCAGAGTTCTCGTTGGGAGCGCTGTGCAATGATGCGTGACAAAAAGGGAACGGGAGTGTCTTTATGCATTCGAGGTGACGAGGAGAAATTCTTGGGTAGCTGCGCTAACAGTGCAAATTTGAACTTGCTCGTTCCGGAAGATAACTAAACTGGTATTAAGCAGTAAGCGTCTTCATTATTTTTGGTTCATTATAAAGTTTTTTTTTTGAGTCTCATGAATATACTGTTGCATAATGATCTGTAAATGTATTCATTGCTGGAAAAAGAAATCCTTAGCTGGCCATGGTAGGCAATAAATTCGGGATTATAGGATTAGTCGTTAGCCCCTAAGTAAAAGCGTGGACATCTGAAATTGACTGTATTTGGCAGCCCTTAGACGTACAGCCAAAGTCGGTGGGATTTTTCAGAGCTATACGAGCTAGTTACGTCTTCCTTCGGAAGGGAAGTAAACCCGTTGGTTCCGGCCCATGTCGTTGATGGATGCGATTGGGTGGTTGGTACTCAATTGCGGAACATCAGAGACCGACGCTAAAATAAAGGAATTATGAAGAAGTCCCAGAGTCTTGAAAGCCCATGAAAACTATTTTCTTTATATAAAAACTAATTTAAAAACCCAACATTTTCAAAATTTAAATTTGTACTAGGTCGAGAAATATGATAATCGCTTCTATTCTTGCTTTCGTTCGAATCGGATACGCCATACAAAAATTATGTTTGGTGTAGGTAGGGGACGATTGTCCGTTGATATATGCGATCCTGTGAAGTGTGTACACCGAATTGTAAGTTTATAACATTGTCTTCATGTATCATCATTGAAATTAAAATTGAACCCCATCAAAAAATGCTAATGCTTTTTTTTTAATTCATGTCACGCCTGCTCTAAAAACATGCTACAGGACAAGAGTGCCACTCTTGTGGTGCAAAAAGGCCATTTGCCTAAAATTAATTGAAACAGATTAATGTTTATTTATGAACTACAACTTAGCATGCCAGCAACAGTTTTAATTGTTTATTTCATAAAAATGTTGAACTTAAAAGATTTGTATAACACAAAACATAAAAAACCATGTGCTGTCAAAGAATTCAGATGGAAAGCATTTTTGTTACTACTTTATACAGTTTGTTTTGCAAAAATTCACGGAATCATAAATGCCCAATTATGTGCATTTCTTAACAATTTTGTATAATTTTATACATAAATATAGGGGTGGCATAAAGTTTATTTTTAGGAATATAATGTTTAATCAATTAAAGAACATATTTAATGATGTATTGTTATTAATGTTTCAATCCACCATCAATAGCGTCTAATAGCAGAAATAGTGAAAATAATAAATTGGGAATTCAGAAATCCTTATTTTATGATGCCTTATTCTTATAAAAAAAAATCGCCTTTCAACACATCAACACAAAATGATTTTTTGTATTTTTTTACGTCTTCGTTTCGAACAGAACTTTGTAGAATGCTTCATAAGAATACCATGCATAGACACCATGGCACACTGGGCCAGAAATCTAATCTAGCGGAGAAAAATTGATAACTCCGAAACGAATAATTTCCGCCACTTGGTGTCTTGGGCAAAGTTTCTCATCATAATAAGAACCATCTATTGACATAAACAAATAGTTCAAAACTCTTCCGCAAAGATGGCGTCACAATCTAACTTCTTTCTCTGACGATTTGGAGACTTGATGTCTTCGGCAAAGTTGTTTGCCTTGACAAAATAAACAACTCTTTTGAAGACGTAAAATTTCCACAGCCTACTGGTTCCGAGTTATATGGAGTTAAAGAAAAAAATGTCGGAAATATGCTTTTTTCTTTCTGTTTCGTTTTTTGCTGACAACCATATAATTTTATATTTTTCTCTTACGCAAATGCATTAAATGCAAAAAAACAACAATTTTTGAACTTTAATATCTCCCAAAGCGCAAAAAATCGCAACTTGACATTTTCAGCAAAAATTAAGCAATACTCGATATACAAAATATCAAAATTTGAGAGAGGTATATTTTGGTGTTTTTTTTAGATTTCATCATTTTAGTGGAGCATGAATTTTTTTCTATTACTTTTTTTAATGCATTAAAATGGCGTTTTGAAGACTTGACGACACAGGCAAAGTTGTTTATCTTGATAAAATAAACAACTCTTCTGAAGCAGTTAAAACTCCACAGCCTACTGTTTTCGAGTTATATGGAATTACAGAAAAAATGTGAAAATAAGTGTTTTAATTTTAAGTTTATTGCAAATAACTCGCAAACAGTAGGCTTTGGAAGATATTTAAATTAAAAAAAATGTTGTTTTTTCGGTTTTTCAACAATATCTTTAAAATTTGAAGCTTAAACCAGCATTTTTCTTCACAAAAGTTATTTATTTAATGCATTTGGGTAAGAAAAAAACATAACATTATATGGTTGTCGGCAAAAAAAAACGAAACAGAAAGAAAAAAGCATATTTTCGACATTTTTTCTTTAACTCCATATAACTCGGAAGTAGGCTGTGGAAATTTTACGTCTTTGCCTAAAACTTCAAGTCTCCAAATCGTCAGAAAATGAAGTTAGATTGTAGCGCCATCTTTGTGGAAGAGTTTTGATCTATTTGTTTATGTCAATAGATGGTTCTTATTATGATGAGAAACTTTGCCCAAGACATCAAGTCGCGGAAATTCTTCGTTTCGGAGTTATTAATTTTGCTCCGCTAGATTGCATTTCTGGCCCAGTGTGATGGTGAGTTAGCATTTAAAATGACTCCATTTTCAAAATCCCTCCCCTTGGCCAATTTTCTGCACCTTGCTGTTGATGGGTGGGCTTAATTTCATGCTTTTTAGTGGAGTGTTGGAGACGGTAGGTTTATGGCCGGCGTTGCTGGCTGATGCCGCGATAGAATGGCGCCATGGGCAGGCAATGGGGATTACTAAGCTTCCCCTCTCTGATAAACCACTGCATGAGAGAACCAATGATCTAGTCTAGCAGTGATAGTATCACACTTGTTACTCCTTTGTTTGAGAGCCGCGTTGTAGTACGCTTATGTGTAGGCACTGACGTTGGGTGTGATACTGGCGGGTTTTGCCGCAAATCAACTCTTATTTTAGTTATTTTTACGCAGATAGATTTATTTGGGTTTGCAAGGGAATTGTACTATTGAAGTATTTCAGTAAGTGCCCAACAGTAATCCTTCTATTTGTGTGACAAGCTTCCATTTTTGTTTTCATTGAAGTATTACTCAGGGAACAACGTTAAACACGTTGGGATAAGTGTTTGAACTATGGCACTGTGGTGTGCTTCTATTGTGACATATCCATATGTATTTTTGTGGTGCGACATAGTGGAAACGTGAGAGCGTAATTGGAATATTTACCCTATATAATATAAAATTTAAAATTAGCTATGAAACTTACTTCAAAGTGAAGCATTTTAGTCAATTCAAGGTGTCACCTGGGACGAACAAAGATATAATTAATATATTTCAAAGCCAGAAGTACTTGAAACACGTTAAATTTTAGTTTAAAAGCATGGGTTATGATTGTGTAGGTAGATTAGAGATTTCAGTTATTTATTAAATAAGACTAAATAATCATCAAATTAACTTCAATAAGAGAATTCAGAAAGTCAATTAACATAAGAGATAGGACGTGGGGGGTCCGCTTAGGGAGGCAACTGGCCTTTAGAGTTGTATAATAAATCTTCCTATTTAGTATATTTGTTAATTACCGAGGGGGGCGACACATCTAAATCTCAATTCTAGATGCTCAAAAAATCTAGTGTGAGAGAATCAATCTTCGAAAAATCATCTTTCATTTCTCGCATCTACTTGCATCGCGCTTCATATGTTTGCAGGAAATCTTCAAAATCGACATAAATCTTCCTTCTATCTACTCAATGTACGTGCAGCTAGCCACAGCAAAACACAATCTTTTCTGCATGGTAGATAGAGTCGTCCACCTCGTTAATTACAGGCAATGTCAATAGCAGTCATATCTTCAATCAGGCGCTTACGGATGAGTGAAGTTTTAGGATAGGCGTGTTAAACATGTTGATAGGTTTGAAATAAGAATTAGGATTGTTGTGCTTTAGTTTTCGGTAAGGTATGATGTGTTAACTAAACCCTTTTGAGCCAATTTTCAAAAATCAAATTGATTGAGCGATTTATTAAAAGACACCTTCATTGAAACATTGCGTTGCGTTAGAAAACAGTATTCTTCTCTAACGAAAATTGACTAGTCATACATCTAACATAGTAGCAGCGTTTCCTTAACCTCAATCTACCTGTGCACCAACTCACAAAACATAAACAACTATTATATAAATTGCTTGCAATGGATAGATATCGAGTAAACTAGAAGATTAAATGAATGTTTTAACCGATTCGAGTATGAATATGGCATTAAATCTGGTTTTGAAAGTACCCTGTCCAAGGCGAGGGGGGCGACACATCTAAATCTCAAGTTAAGATGCTCAACAAATCTCACACTAGCGAATCAATCTTTGAAAAATCTTCTTTCATTTCTCGCATCTACTTGCATCGCGCATCATCTTTTTGCAGGAAATCTTCAGAATCGTCATAAATCTTCTTTCTATCTACTCAGCGTGCGCACAGCTAGCCACAGCAAAGCACAATCTTTTCTGCATCGTAGATAGAGTCGTCCCCCTTGGTCCAAGGATGAGGGGCTTGTTGATGATTTGTCAAGTGTTGCTATGATTTTTTTTTTGCAATTTGTTAAAATTGTATTTTTTCTCTAGCTTATTTATTTGAAAGGTTCAAGCAAGTTAATTTCATGGAGCCATAAATTGTAGTTTTATCATAATTTTAATATTAGCATAAAATAAAATAGTAATTTTAAAATCGCTTTTGTAATGCTAGGTAAATAGTTTGCTTTAAGTGTAAAGTTGATTTATAAGAAAGTTCTAACAGTTTTCTGTCATACCTCTAACATAGTAGCGTGATTTAGTGACAGTGTCGCATGTCCTAACAACAAATGCCTGCGACAAGTGTTCGAGGAGCCGACAGGGCTGAATACGGGTCAATACGAACAAAACTCTAACACTAAGATGACCCCGACACTAACGTTCATCCATTGCACTAATAGTACACTAATAGTAATTTGAGTATTTTTGGTTGGTGGTGCCGCCACCTATGGCGCGCACGGTCGG